TCACTCTTACTCGTTAATCCCATTTTCACTGTGTCTAATAGAGATAAATTGAAACTTCCCACCACATAGGAATTATCAGTCCTTTATTTTTGTCTGTCAATTTTTCCTTTATATTTTAAAAATATGTATTTCACATTTCCATGATTATATATCTTTCTATTGAGTTGTCTTTGTTTCAAAGTATAGAACAAATGTTTATCTTCTTGAGTGTGTATTTTTGTCTGGTGTTAATAATGCTCCCTCAATTTTCTTCTTAGAACTTGCTGTGTAGTTTTCATTTTTTAATGTTCATCTTTTTTTGCCTTTAAGTTGTAAGTGTTCCCTTTACAATAGCCTATTCATTTTTAAACATTCAATTTTACAGTCTCTTTTTATGAATAATCAGGCATATTTTTCTATTTATTGTGATGTGTTATAACATTATTTATTTGTATTTTATTTTGTGCATTCTAGCTATCTTCTAAGAATTCATTATTTTAATTTCCTTTGGATTAACCAAATTTTCTTTTTTTTTCTCTTCATACTGGCTATGGGTTTACATGGTCTATTTCTGTTCTTTATTTGCTTATCCTTAAAGTATGGCTATAAAGAGATAACAAAGCCCACCTAGCCTTCAGAATATTAACAGGGCTTTTGTATTGTTTAACTTAGATTGCCCTTGTATTCTGTCTCACATTTTAAAAAATACAGTACTTAGTGCTACTATGTGATTATAGTTCTCCAATATACCATCTATGTTTAAAAACAGGAAATACATGTTTAGATTCATAATTAGATTCACTATTTCTTTATTGCTCTTCAGTTCATTCTGTGTTCAGTTTTCTTTGGTTTAAATTTCATATTCAAAGGTTAGTTTGTGCTATATTCTACATTGCTTAAACAAACGTGTATTTAATCTCCATTTTATGTTAGTTTAGCTGGACATGAAAATAAAGGAAGGTATTTTCTTTTTGGATTTTCAGAATATTATTGCACTGTTTTGAGGCTTCCAGGTTGAAAAAATATTTGCCATAATTTTAATTGTTATTTGCATATTAAGAATCTATCTTTTCTCTTTGGTTGTTCTTAAGATCTCTTTGTCATCGGCAATCAGCACATTCAATATAAAGTATTTAAGTTACAGAGAGAATCTGATTTTACAATTCCACATTAACAATTATTATACTTCTTTATTTTGAGGAATCAGGGCCTCCATTGTTTCTAGGAAATTGTTGGCTACGATCTCTATGAATATTGTTTTCTTTCTTTTCTCTCCTTTTTATGTCTATTGAAGTATCCAATGGTCTTTCCATTTTATGTGCCATGTTACTCTTTATCTCTATTTCCTCATGCAGCAATCTGAGTAGTTTCACCCAATATATGCCATAGTTCATTAAGTTCTACTCCGTCTGGTTTTCAGCCTAATCCTTGCCTTCAATTTTTATTACACATTACATTTTGATTTCTCACAGTTCAGTTTATTATCCTAAATTTCCTGATCTCTTTGGACAATATCTTATTTAAGGCATTTAATTTCTTTTCACTTGCCTATCATTTTCAATAGTATTGTTGAAATAGCGCCATACCTGATGGGTCTTGCATGACTGTACTAGGAGTACATTTATGCCTTTTGTCTCTGGCTCATTGTGACTTTTTTTTCCTCAAGAGATTTATAGTTTTGTACTGTGAAATCATGCTCAGCATTTTAACTGTTAGAATCCAGAAAGGATGTCTTAATGATTTATCTCTACAGAAAAGGTTTGGGCTTGCATCTTTCAGGTTTTTGAGAAATGTTACCACCTTGGGAAACATTTTTTTAAAATTAATCTTCCAGACCATGAAAACGATATACATTTCAATCCCACACCTTATTAAACAAGTACTTTGACACAGTTTCGGGGGAGGTTTTTTGCTATTGTTTTCATCTAGAGCTATGGGTGATACAAAGTTTCCTTGTCTCAGTTTTCAAGTGCTCAGATATGAATGAAGTTCATAGCTGCTTTGTGGGTGATGTCCTTCAAGGGGCAATGCCATGTGACTCATCTTCACACCAGCTGGTCACCTCACAGGTGCCCAGGGCTGCCAGTGCCCTTTGAGGCCACACCTCTTGGTTACTCAGCCCGGAGATGCCTCCGTGGCTGCCAATTTGGACAACGTCTGAGAGTAACGCTGGCTTTGCATTTCTCCTTCTGTGTGAGATACTAGGGCTTTCCTTCAGCTACTAGTGAACTCGAACACTTATGTGTAAAGAGTTTACCTAGGATGTTGACAGATTTGTCTCAAGAAATTTTTGCCCCCATCATTAAATTTAAAAAAATTCCTAGAAAGAAAAGTTGAAGTTCTCAAAACTCTTTGGTGTAAAACCATAAACTAGGTTTTTTAGTTGGTGGTAATTACTGCAGAGAAGTACTAAGAATTGCTCAATTATGGAGCTAGCTTAATTAAACTTTACTATACTATATTAAGCAAAGACCTCTTTCATCAGACAAAATTTTAAAAACCAAAAGATAATTTATTTGTATGAAGAAAGGACACTGTTCAAAATTACTATAGGACTTAAAACCTTTAATTTTTGTGGCTTACAGCTATCATTATTTAACAATTTTACAAATTAAAACTAAGAAATTTTCCATTTTTATTTAGTAATTTACTGGCCATAATAAGCCTAGTACATATTAACATAAATACAATATTTTCATGAAAACTAAATATACTTTTGAAAATAAATAAACAGGAAAAAGAATGTTTCTGTTGTATACTTTTGAATATTTTAATGTCTGGCTTAATGAAAAAGAGCTGGATTCTCGTATTTCTACATCCAATATGTTTCAATATATTATTGAATTATATGATGAAAATATGTTCTTACTGAGAGACATATAGTTGAAAAAGGGACAGTATTTTAACCATTTTTTCAGAAAACCATGGATTCTTCTTTGATTTTGCATCTTTCTGGCAAGCAACGTTCAAGGATCATAGCCAAACACTTGGCTTTTTCCTTAAACTGGAGGTTGGTGGAGAGAGCAGACAGAATACCATCAGTACCATTGCAGTGTTTCCCTAAAGTCCCATCATTGTAGACACCATAGATACCACACTGTTTTCCAAGTTTCCTTCCTTGTTTTAAGTTCTCTCTCTCTTTTGCTGTGGATGCATTCTTTTCTTACCTTTTCTCCTTCTGACAATTTCCAAAACATCCAATATCAAGGGTTCAGATCAGAAGAATCCAGAGAGAATGCAATATGAATGGAGCACAGGAGATGGAAGAAATTACAGAGTAAAAATGAGAGACAGAGTGACAAAGGAAACAGAATAACAATGCGTGGTGGGGGTGAAAACAGAGGAGAAGACAAGTAGCCAGAGAATGGAGAACAAAGCTACAAAAGGCAGAGGTGTGAGGCAGGTATAAGTATTGTTTTCTTTTTTCTTTATTAGTACATACTTTTCATCTGTTGATGGACACTCCAAGATATACCTATTATGGATTGTGGGGCTATAAACATGGATATGCTTGGATCTACTCTAATGTGATGCCCTTAACTCTGTCTTGAAGATATCCAGAAGAGGTACAGGTGGGTCAAATGGAATTTCTAGTTTTAGTTTTTGAGGAATCTCCATATTAATTTCTATACAGTTTGTACTAGCTTACATTCCCACCAACAATGTAGAAGGGTTCCTTTTCCCCTCAGCCTCTCCAGGATCTGTTACTATTTAATTTCTTGATGATGGCCATTCTTTCTGGGGTAAGATGGAATATCAGTGTTGTTTTAATTTGCATTTCTCTAATGCCCAGAAATGTTGAACATTTTGTATATTTATCGGCCATTTGTACTATTTCTTATAATTTATCAGAAAGAGCTACTTTACAGTACAGTAAGAATAATAATATAGGAAAATATATGGTATACCCAGCCTAATCAATTATCAGGAGACTGTGGTGGTTATCCTTGGCTACTTTACTCTCCTTCATCAAATGTCTACTAAAACCACCAATCATTTTTTTCCTTAAAAAAAAATCATGTAACCACTACCAAAAACCTTTCAGAACTATCAAACACCGTTCAGAATTTTTTCTAAGCATGTCCTAATTCTCAGGATATAATATTACATCATTTGCTTCCCCATTGTGTCAAACAAGTTTTACATCTTATTTTTTTCTTAAATTCTTTTATTGGTACATTTTAGGTATACAATACACTTCCATTTATCATTGGGTGCTTGTACCTGTACATGATATATCTTGGTTCTTATTTTTTCCCCATTCCCTATGCTCCCTTCACCCCTTCCTACATCTTATTTGTTTTTTCATAGATCAAGGACTATCATCACATGCCAGTATCTCACTTTTGCAGGTGGAAAGATTATGTCTATGGATTCTTATCTAATTCAATGGCTCAACCACCCACTCAATAGTTTCTGATTGATATGATTAGACTTAATTTATATTTTGTCTTTGGTTATGACTTTATACAATATCGAAATAAGTTTTTATTATTTATTTTTTCTCTTCAGAATAGCCAGCTTTCAATTTTTTTTCCCCTGAGGTATCTTGGAGGACCAATGTCCCCAGGAAAGGGTTCATAATGGTTGCCTAGGTCTTTATTGGGTCAGTAGCTGGCTGTAAAATTTTTCCATTTTATAAGTAATTTGGATTATTCTGCCATCAGCAACTTACTTTCTGGATTTTGTTATATAGACACTTATTTGCTATTTTTATTACCTCTCATACCAGAGGAAATTTCTGCAGTTTATCTCCATTAGCTCACAGTTTCACTGCAATAAAAAGTTTACATCATTTATAGACTTGGAAAATTGGCTATGGACTACTTCCTCCAAATTATTTATAAATCTATAAAAGAACATTTTAGCAATGAGTTTATTTATCATTATCCTGTACTTCCTGTTCAAGCCCATTGTAAAATCATGGCTCTGATCACTTGGTGGCTTAATGTATTTTAATAGTGTTTGATGATGAAAATAACCTGAAAAGCAGAAATAGTTGATAACCACTGGTTGCCATTTTTCCTTTATTCTTCCAAATAAGCACTAGCTCTCTGGAAACTATGTTAGCTTTTGAGATCAGATGTTTAATCACCTTATTTTTTGACATTTTAATTCCTTGTTTTCTATCAAGCTCTGTGAAATGGAAGAAGGAGTTAGTAATTGTTAGTACTCAATATTTCTGGTGGAGCCTTGCTATGAATGATTATCACATTGGAAAATCACCAGCTGCGTTGATCATTCTGGGAAATATTCCACAACTGTACACCTTGACTTTTCCCAGTCTTATAGGTCAGTAATTTCCAGCTAAATTATTCATATTTTCTTAATGATTTGGTCTGGAATAACACATGGTTTTATTTTTATGCAATTTAGAAATTCCAAAATATCAATTTCTAAAATAAGTTTGGAATGAGAAGCTCCTTAATCTTCTCTGCAAGATCTTTGCTAAAGACCTTAGCAAATTATTTATTATTCTCTGGCTTATCTCTCCTTTTAACCTCTAATTCTCCCTTTATAGCATGACCCTTAAGAAATTCCATAGATATACTACCTGAACTTCCCTTTGTTATATCATTATTACTATTGGTATTGGTATTATAAGCGTCTGTAATAAAAACTTGAAAATGTATTTGTTCCACCATATTTGTGATTATGAGCTTTTTGGTTAAGTGAGGCAGTGAAATGACCTATGGAGCTTTCACGCTGGAAAACACGGAGCCCTCGATACCAGGGCAGGGTAGGGGCACAGACACCAGCCCTACTCCTCCATCAGTGCTGGCTTCCCTCAGCCCAGGCCTCATTCCAGATGATGCCTCAGAGCACACATTCATGTCTCAGTCACTGAGGAGGTGGGAAGCCTGCCATCAGGAAGAACTTCCCATGTTTTGTGAAAATTTTGAGTAGAGAAAAGGAGAGAATCCATGGAGAGTTAGAATATTCCTGCATCAGGGCCTTGGCATCAACCTGGGAATGCATTAAAATGCCAGTTTTGGGGTCCTCCATCCCAGACCTAAGGATACTCTACCAGCGTGGATCCAGAAGTCTTTGGACAAGTCCTTCCAGGGATTCTAATGTCCACTAGGGGCTGCAACCCAGTGGGTAGAGGCTGAATTCTATTTATCAGGCAGGCTTCTCAAACACGCCGTGCATAGTTGTGGTTCTCAGGCGGGAAGAAAGATCATACACTTCTGAGATGCTCCTGGGGGTGCCTGCTGCTTTATAAATGTAGTTTGGTGTCAGAACCATCAGAAAACCTAAGAAGTCACCAGACACGAAGTGCCAGGGAAAGCAGGCAAGTGGAGTGAAATGAGCAGTCTGGCCAACACCGAGGGAGGGCCAGTAGGCTTGAGAGCTCAGGGATCCTGATGGGTGACACAAAGAAAGGCTTATCCTGAGCCCAAAATTTTAAAGAAAGTGACCTGCCAGGAAAGGTCAGGAAATACAGCAAAGGGTGTGGGTTTGGTGTCATAATAACAGATGCGCACTTTCTAGAACCTATGCTAAGTAGACACAGTGAGACAAGTATCCAGTGATCCTAAAGGAGAGGAGAGGGACATGCCATGTCCATGAGGCTCAGCCTGCTATTGGTGAGCTCCTGTACGGCCGTGGCAAAGTTACTTAAGATCTCTGTTTGTGGCTCTCTCCTATCTAAAGTGTGGATAAATGTAGAATCAATTTTACAGAAACTTTGGAAGTACTGAATGGCAAAGACTTTCAAGGCACCCAGAGAACGACACATAACAAACTCAATAACTTATCTATCCTCCTTTGTGAAACAACGAGGCAGAAGTGGTTGGCACGTCAGTGTAGTGTAGTGACTCATTTGGAAGACAACAAATGGAAATGACTGAGAAAGGGGAACACTTACCCAAATAATCAATACAGCAAATATTTTTACTTAAAGACTTTGACATCCCTTTACTTTATGGCCAAGTCCCAAAGGAGAAATACGTAATGAAAAGCTATTCTTTCCATAGTCATCACCAGAAATGTCAAGGTGACAATGTTTTGATGCTACATAAGAAAAACAGTGCATGTAAGAGTTTGTTCATTCTTTCAGCTTCTTGGAGTCATTCACAGGTGAGATTTCCTCTCCTATCAAACTTTTGAAGTGGCGAAGGGCTGACAAAAATGCAGTTTCTCAAAGGGACACCTTTCTGGTTATTTATTTTCTTCTTTTCATCCTTTAAAACATAGTCATCAATACATTGTTCTGCTCCAGGAGAGAACTGGTACAAATCATTTCTGCATGCATCTCCAGAATACAGATGATAGTGTCTTGGGGTTAGAGACAAAAAAGATGATTGGAGTTTTCTGAAATGTTGTACTGATCGCTTAATGGATCCCCTAGATGATTTCTCTGCTACTGGAGTAACTTGACTGCATTTCTGAAAACAGATTTTTATTATCATAAAATAAAGATTGGAATGTTGCTTGATTTTTAATGCATTAATCTCAGTTTTTTTCTATACAGAAAAAAATGCTTATGGTTTAAAAAGGACAAACTAATTTAAAATACCCCAATCAACACTTGTATGCCCACAACACTCACACTCGCACATGGGTGCACATACTATTGATGGATTTGTGGAAGCAATTTTGATTTGTATGAATTCTCAGGTACTTTCCAAATGCTACTTCTTTAAAATTTTGGTGAAGTGAAGCAGAAAAACCTTTAAGGAAATATAAAATACACTGCAATGCTTCAGATTTTACTAAGTTCTAAAAAGTCAGCCTTTAGAAGTGATTTCCAGTATTTAATGTTTGAGGCAGGCACATGTTTGATACACTGTAAGAATTTCCTTCCTGCTCTCAATCAACACAATGCACAGGAACAATGCACATAAATCTTTTCCACCCAGACAGAACTGTTGTCTCATCCAGTGGTTCAAAGAGCCAGTAATTAACTCGTACACTTCATGTAGCAATAAAACAAATAAATGGCCCTCTCAAAAGTTACATCTGCATTATATACGTATTCATCTTTACCACAGTGTAACCTATCTGGCCGCAAAGTACCTAAGTCCTCTGACCACAAATACTCCCCTCATTGAGGCCTGGACATTTTCATTGATTTTCCTCAGTCACAGTGAAATAGTCTGTCCAATAAATTAAGTAATAATAATTAATTACACAAACGATCTCATTATCAATTCCTATTTAACGTGGTGAACAGTAGCAAGTGCAGTGGATCTTCTGAAATGAACTCATCGCTTCGTACTTCAAAAGTAGCATGGGGGACGGGGATTTAGCTCAGTGGTTTCGCCGCCTGCTGCGCAAGCGCAAGGACCCGAGTTCGATCCCCAGTACCAAAAAAAATGCACGGAAGGGCTGGTGATGGCCCTCCGGAGCTCTGCCCTTAGCCAGCCGAGTGCAAAGTGCCCATCAAGGTTTGAGACTCACTATGCATGCTGGTGAGTGGCAGATCTGGTCCTTCCTCCTGTCCTTCATGGCAGGTCAAGCAGGAGCCCCAGCCAGAAAGCTGAAACTAGAAACCATGGTCTTGTTTTCTTTCTGAAAGAAGCCAGTGAGTAGAAGCATTTGGGCGAGTCCCAGAAGGTTATGGACTAACAGCGAGGGGCTCCACTGACAGCCAATGGAAATCTCACAGCCTTCTCAGCTTGAGACCATGGAAATATTTATATGGTTCTTTGTTTTAAACTTTTTTATTATTACTTGGTTATCTGCTTCTAATCTCATCAGGTAGGAGTGTTTTTACTGTACTCACTATGGTAATATGGGGCCTTGTTTTTCTCTCTCCCTCTCTCTTCCTCTCCCTCCCTCACTCCCTTCCTCCCCCATCCCTCCTTGCTTGCAGAGCAGTAGGAAGGATTCAGAATCCCTGACTACATGTTTCAGTTATGCCCCTCTCCACTGAGCCCACATTCAGCGGTGTACATTTAGCAGCACTTACTTAACTGTACTTGTTTAATAATACCAACTTCTCCATGCCTGAATTCCTCACTCTACTCCAAATCAGCCACGAATACAAATACTGTTGAGTATCCTCCACATGGCAGGGTGGACTGTTAAGCAATTTGTCTTCTACATCTGTCTGATGTTTGTTTTCAGAAGTAGAACCTTTAGTTGCTTTGTGTAATTATTCAATCAATGAAGATGAGGCATTGTGGAGAAAACAGGGAGTATAAATAAAGCACACATGTTGAAATTTAAAAGCCCAGTTATGTTATACAGGATTTAGATTGTTTCAAAAAAAACAAAAAACAACAACTGTGAGAATGAATGCAAGTACAGAATATTTTTATATGTTAGGGAGTATATTTTTAACTTCATGTTAAGACATGTGTTGACCTTGCTTTGACATCTTGTAACATTTCTATCCCCAAAACGCTTTTTAAAGATTTTGTTGAAAAATTATTTATCTCAAGGGGAGACTTGGTGAAAAAGCTTTCTTTTGTAGGATATAAATGTTGAATGTTCTTTCTTCTGTGTCATAATCTTCAGTTCCCCTTATTTCCTTCCATCTCTATTTCTTTTTGCCTCTGTCCATTGTCACATTTCATCAAATTTTTCTGATTACATCTTCTCAAATATTCACATTTCTTCTTTTTCTGGAAAAGTCAGCCTGCTTTTCTAGAAAATTTCAGCCTACTTTTCTTTCTCTTACTTTTTCCTATCTGCTTTCTAATTGTCCAGGAGACAATTGCATAATACTGGAAATGGAGGAAATTGGGTTTCCTGGACTAAGTACTCCATAGAGAATTCAGTAGAACTCCAGGGTCTCTGCGAATTGTTCTAACTTAGGAAGGTGCGAAGTGTCAGAGAGTAAATTTGTCCAAGGAAGACAAGCACAGGCAAACTACATTAAAGAGTAGACACTGAAAACCTGAAGAGTCTCCTGAGGTTGAAGGTGGAGGACAAACAAGAGAAAGAGAAAATAATGAAAGAGGAAGAGAGAAGCAGAGGGCCTGGTGAAGGCAAAATGTCCTGTGTCACTTGTGACTTTGTATCAGGGAAGACCATACTAAATCCGTGGTGTCCTGTAAGACGCACACGTCAGTGTTGTGTCAGTACAAGTTACTGTACAACATTCTGCTGTGTAAATCACCATCTTTTCTGTTCATTAATCTTTTTGGCTTCGTCAACAGTAACTCTGCTCAGCAGTCTATAGCACTTATTTTTCTCCTAGTTCTTGATTTCTCCTGCTTTTCCCCCAGGTGTCACTTGAAGCCTGTCCTGTTGTGTTTTTTGTCCCCTTTCAGGAAGTCCCCTAACTCAAACCAAGGCCACCGTCTTTACAGGGAAGCAAGGGCACACCCCGGGCTATT